GCCCTGGCTATGCCCACGTATACGCGGCACATTACTGAAGCTGCTGGTTTCAAACCTTGATTCGGGAGACCTGATAGGAGCTCAGTTATAAGGGTCATTTCAAAATGAACTGCACCAATCCCCGCTGGTTTTTAAATTACATGAAACCATCATCCCAATATACCTTTAATGATAAAAGGAGGGTTTGTTTTTTCCACTAGCGATTTCTAGATTTTGTGGTAGCAATAAAATAGCTTTAGTCATTTTATTTATTACACTGATGCCCATTCTGCTGACCTTTGAAAATATTATAGTTTAGCGACCAAGAGTCATAAAAACAGAGACTTTAATGTCCTGTGTAGTTAAGTGGAATTTTTTGATATTTAAATGTCTTGAAAGAAATTCAAGACTATTGGCTTTCACAAAACAAATAACCTTCAGAAAGATTATAGTTCTTAACTGTTTCATGTAAAAAGGCCCTACAAATGCAGAGAAAAATCACCCATTTATGTACTGGCCTCTGAGAGTAAGTGACCCAGGCAGAGAACACATGGGCCCTTCCCTTGAATCTCATTCCTGGGTCCTAAGTCTCCAAGAGACCTCCAGAAAGCATCAGAGAGGCCCACAGGCACACTGGCCAAGACCACAGAAAAAAATGCCAGCGTCTCTCCCTCCTGCCTCGTGGATGCCAAAAAGGGATGCAGACTTGGGCTAGCTGAGTACTTCATGCAGGTGGATGGGGGTGGATGGGTAGGGGAGGAGTTATTTGCGATGAACAAACTCCTTTAGCAGGCTGACAACAGCTCATCAACTGACCCGCAAGTCAAAAAAGCAGACTGGATACGCAGCTGTGCTGCTTTTCACGGCAGGATAATTACATAAAATGTATTTTGAAAGTCAGTGAGGTTTTATTCACACAGTGTTTGGTAATGACCTCCTGAAAGGTAATTACAGTCTTTGTGTCAAGCCTCACAAGTGCTCTGAACATCATAAAAGCCATAAAAGCCGTGGAGATAACATGATTACAATGATAAAGGCCCTGGTTAGGGTGGCTGTCAGGTCCACTGGACCTTGCCTTGCCATGTTTGCCCTTTAACTTCGCCTATCTCTGCATAGTGAATATGCAGGGAATATTCTTTTAGGATAAAATGAGATAATGTGTAAAATCACTCTAGGCAGGTGCTACTGAAATACAGATTACTTTGTGATGAGGCCACAATTATCACAGTAAGTGTGGTGGGGAAGGGGGGCCAATTCCTACAGGGCTGCTTCTGCGCTATAATGCCTCATTATGATAAGGCTATTAGTCAATTACATGACAATAATGTATTGATCAGTCATAACTCTACACATGCTGCTATTATTCTTGTTATAATACTTAAGGCTATTCAAGGTTAAGAAAATGTTTCCTAAAGTTTGTATTGTAACTATGAGCTTTGAGACATCTGGTTGTGTATGATTCTTTGCAATAGAAATTGTGGGTGACATACCATTATAATATTATTTTACTTACACCTTGCTTCCAAGACTAAAGAAACTATATAATATAATATCATTGTCATTCATTAAGTTCTAGAATTTGTATCCATATTTGAAGCATTACTCATAAGAAAGGATACCAAAAAAGCAAGTTGTAAAATCAGATCTCTGAAGGCAATTAAATAGATTAAATTATGCCTTTCTTTGTCATGGTCTTTTAGGATGAAACAGAATTTGTTTAGGAACACGTCTTCCAGAGAGAGCCTTCTGATTGCTTTTATTCATATGCACTCTCAGAGAAAAACATTATCGAGCCCAGTGGCATGTAAGTATAACTTAACATTTTCTATTTCCTGAGATATAATTGAATAGTTATTTTCTTTAGCCTTTACTGGCTTTATGTGAATGGCTCCCAATTGTTTTAGCTCTATAAATATTCCTGGAAAATCTACAAATAATAATGGTAATAATGACAAACATTTACTGAGTATTTCTATGTGCCAAGCACAGTATTAAGTGCTTTAGGAATGCATATGAATATCAACTCATTTCAAAGGTTTTTGTTTTAAATATGCTCTGTGGTGACCCATTTTATAAAGCAAATAATACCTTCTGAAAGTTTAGATTGTTATCTACTTGATTTTTTTAAGCCAGGGCTCGCCAGCAAATCATATATAGACATACAATTTTTGCACAACAGTAGCTCCAGATATCAGCTACAATCAATTTAGCACATAATGTGTGTTAGGCCCGTCCTAAGCGCTTTACATAAAGCATCTCATTTAACCCTCACAGTAACCTTAAGAAAACTAGTATCCCTGTTTTACAAATAGCAAAACTGGGTTTCAGAGAAGTAAGAAATGTGTCCTCTAGATGTATGAGCTGGGATTCAAGCCTGAGTCTGACTCTCCAATCCTATTCTTTCTCACCCCTGATGGTGGGAGAATATTTTATGCATCCCTTCCTAATTGGGGATAAGAACTGATGACTCCACGTGAAAACATGCAAATGGAAAGCACAGGAAGAGGTGAACACAGGACTGCTTAGCGATGGAGAAGAACGTTAGTATTGTAGCTGTCCGTGTCACAGAGAAGGTGGGCCTGGCCCTGGGGGACAGCTAAAGACATTGAGGGGGCAGATAATGAAACAGAAACCATGCACCTGGCACCTGGGCACCTACGAGACAGGCCCCTCTCTACAGAGGTGCCTCAGACTGGTCGCCAGGGCGGTGGAAAGGGTGCTCATCCCAGGTAATCTGGTCCCTAAGTCCCACAGGCAGCACACTGAGCAAGGGCAGGTGGAGCAGGGTCCCTCCGGATCTGTGACGGTCCACGCCTCATTCTTTCTTCCTGCTTCCCCGTGCTGCTGACCAAAGGGATTTTCTGTTCTCCTCACTTCAGTGTTGACACATACCCTCCCATCCTGGCACAAGGCAACTCTGCCAGTAACAACTCACAGAACTGTTTAGGGTGGGAGGGAAAAGCTGGACTGAACTGTTTAAAACCAGTTTAAAGCAGAGGCTCGTTCCTCCCTTTGGCCTCCTCTGTTTGTGGACATGTTTCACGTCTTGATCGGGAGACAGACTCAAAATGACCTGGCTGTCCTACGTGACACGTGCAAATGAGAAACACTTCTCAGGGTTGTTTTCGATGGCTTCTCTGCTGAATCATATACAAGCAGACTCAGTAAGGAAGAGCGGGGTGAGAGGTCCCTAAGGCTGCCGCCACTCCCCAAGGCTTTCCCTCTCAGAGCTGCCAGAGGACAAATGACAAGCCTGCCTCAGCCACACAAGAGGGAACCTAGAGGGCCCTAACAGAAGCAAGCTGGCACAAACCCGTCCTGCCACAGTGTCCATCGGCCTGTGCAACACAGAACACCCAAAATGACACACAAGATGGGTGACCAGAAGGGACCCGACACCGTCCAACACTGTCTCTGGCACCACCCCGGCCTGCCTCATCATAACCCTGTGCCTCCTTGTCCTTCCCTGTGTCTTTCACCAGCATTTGCCTGGAGGAGCCAGTCATTCCCATCAAGGAAAATGACAGCTAAGATTCTGCACGCGGTGCCTTTCCCCCATCAAGAGCATGTGACTCGGGAACCCAGCAGTCGGAATGCAAGGCATGGCACAGTTCTCCGTCCATCCCTTCTTTGCCTACTCACCCCCATGGGAGTCCATCTGTGGCAGGAAATGTGAAGGCCCTGGGACCAGAGAGCCCTGGCCTGCTATTTGCTGGAGAAGCAAAGCCTTCCCTCCTCCCCAGGTGAAAGAAACAAAGGAGACTGAGCTAATCAAAACCTGCAAGCCTGCTGGTGGAGCTTCAGCTTGGCAGTGGTGCAACTCAGCGGAGTGAGTAACGGCGTCGAGCTTTGCGGGAAAGGAGAGCGGGAGAGAGACAGAGACAGAAACACAAAGAGAGAGAGAGAAAGAAAGGCATTAACCTGGCCAGGAGTCACACAGGTGCCTGGAGCCCGACCACTGAGCAGTGTCTGATCGATAGGATCTGGCTATATGTCCTGGAGGCGACTATTTCTGGGGCGGGCAGTGCCGTTATATGTGCGGTGGGGTGTGCTGAGAGATTAATTTCTTATTCACAGGACTCACGGGGCTGGCCAAGAGCCGTTAGGTGGACTTGTGAGTTGGAAGTCTTCATGGGCACGTCCTGGCTCTCTACGAGGGATTCCCCAGGAGGGAGAGGCGTTTACCCCATGCACCCCCACCGCGAGCCACGGGTCTCTGCGGAGGCTGTGGCAGAGTGGACGTGCGAGCCCTGGGGCCGCCACACGGAGAGCAATAGCAGTGCGCTCCGTGGTTCACAGAAAGCCTGCCCCCGGGGGGAGCTGGCCACTCAGAAGCCACGTGTGGCCTTTTAAGACTCTTGCAGGCCTCCCTGCACCTCAAGTAACTACCGTGTTTCCCTGAAAATAAGACATCCTCCGAAAATAAGACCCAGCGCATGGAAAGATAAGACATCCCCTGAAAATAAGACCTAGTGCAACTTTGGCTTTGGTAGAAAAAAATTAATATAAGACACTGTCTTATTTTCGGGGAAACCAGGTAGTTTGTGAAAAGGAGCTTACGTGTGTAGCTGTTCTCTCTCCTGAAGCTGGTAAGCTTGGACTCCTGGGACTTAACAGCCTTTAGTAATGGGGGGTTGTGCCATACCTCTGTCCTCTGGCTCACAGGCAGGTGTTAGGAAAAGAAAGGAATAAGCAGAGGAAGGCCTGGCAGGAGACCCTCAGGAGAAGGCCCTGGTGATAGGGGGCTGGGCCCCATCGGGGAGTACAGTGCAGCAGGGCGAAAACTGGTGGCATGCAATCACCTTAGAAAATGTGCCATCTCTGGAGGGTTTCTGACTTAAATTGGGAGACTATGTGCTAACCCCCTAAATCAGAAGACCCGGTCTGCCCGTTGTCAAACCCTGGCCCACATGCGTCTCAGAGAGTTACTGTGAGCACAGGCAAGACAGATGTGGCCCATCCTGCAAGCCCACGCCCACCCCTGCACGGGAGTGAGTTCTGAGTTGAAGTGTGGTCTTTACCTGAAATACGCCTGGGCACGTCGGTGATGGCAGGGAGCCCGGTGCCCCGTGTGGAAGACAGCGGGGTGGTGGAGTGAATGGACGGGGAAGTCATCTGGCTCAGGTAGGAGGGGTAAGACTGGTCATAGGACCACGGTGGGGAAGACTGTGCCTGCCTGGGGTCTGGAAAAAAAGAAAAAAATCTTCAGTATACCAGCTGCTGTGACCTAAGAACACACAACCCAGACAGGATAAAACAGGGGGAGACACACACACACATACACAGTCTAATTATTCCCAAAACCCCCTCCCCCCAGGCCCTGTAAAGCACAAAGCTAGACAGACTTTGGGTGTCAATAAATGTAACCAAATGAATCACAGGGGAGCACGATTTGTCTGTCACATAAATACATCTACTTAGAACGTCTAACCGTCATTAGAAAACTACCTGCTTTAGTTATTTTTACAAAGCTGAATTCCATTTTATTTGCTTTCTGTGCTTCTTCATTTACTCCAGCGAACATGTATTCCTTACTTCTTTGAACGGTTAAAAATCCTTTGAACAATTAACTTAGTTAAGGAACAAGCAGACTGCTGCTTTCCACTGCGACCTACCCAGCTACTGTCTCAGACCTGTTTTCCGGCTTTCAGAGTGTGTGATGCCACCATGTTAGCAGGTGGGAGGGATGTCACCTACTAGCATGGACGTGGGAGCAGAGATGAGAACAGGGTAGGCAGCATGTGAGGAGAGTACAATGGAGGGGAGCTGGGTATAGTGTTCTCCTGGGAAAATGACTCCAGAAAATAACCTTTACAAAAAGGCAAAACTTAATTTCAAAGCCAGCTACTCTGAAGAACTGAAAAGCCTCATCACCATCCAGACAATAAGAAAAATGATCCAAAACAGGAGAACCGGGACATGTCTTTAAACTTATTGGAATCTGTTTTAATAAAGGTGTCACATGTTGGGAATGTGACCTAGTGTTACCTACAGTCACTATAATAATAAAAATCATGGGCAGCCAACTTGTTAGGGCTCACTGCTGACCACCAACGATTTTTTTGGGGGGGTATCTCTATTGTGTTTCTTGGAGTAACAAAATCAAATCAAGGCCCAAGTGGATTTAGCAAGAGCTTTAGTCTTCATAAAAAAAAAAAAAAAACACGTAAATTTGCTTTATGTTTCCAGGGCGGAAAAGTGTATATCTCAAACTGTTTTGTTCTGACTTGAGGGCTAATCAAACAGAATCACAAGCACATTTCTCTTAACATTTTTTTTCTAACTTCAAACATTTTTGTTCATTTTAAAAATGTTAATTTTTAAAATTCTAATATACCAGCCCATTCACAAGACAGCTTTATATATTAGAATATCTATGGATTTTGGAATGTTTAGAATTAGGTTCAGGCTCTGAGGCTTCTACTTTCTAACTGTAATCTTGGGTTAATTACTCAGTGATTCTGAGTCTCAGTTTTCTCACCTGTAAAAGGGGTAGAGGAATAATAATATCTACATCACAGAGATGTGATATTACAGGAGAAAATTATGAATAGAGGACTAGCATAGAAAGCACTCAGTAAGTATTAATTTTTCTCTTTAAAAAAATCTCTTTGCAACACTAGGGTAGTCCCATGGTTAAAACACATATGCATTGGAGTTAATAAATTTGCAATAGGTTTAAAATTATTCCCACATCGCCTGTCAGCCTTTGAATATGAAAAGCTTATTTTTCAAAAGTGATTAAAATATTTGGATAGTCAATTAAAGTTTATTTCTAAAAATAAAAATGAGAATAACAAGACAGATTTTTCTGAGATGATTTCTCTTTTTAAATACTCTCGATTTTCTCTACGAAGTCATTTAGTTTCAGCTATTTCTTGTTTATTTGTTCAATTCAGAAACAATTTATTTAAAGACTGTCTAAATAGGACATACTTTTCTTGAGTCAAAATAATTAAATACATCTGGATATTTATCTGATATTTACTCTATCAACAAATATATAGAAAAATTTCACCCTATTCCATTTTAAGAAACATTTACCTGAGTTTGCAATTTGGATAAAAGTATATTACTGTAAACAGTGACCATAAACTTTTCCTTCAGAAATCTAAAGGATTTGCTCTTTAAAATGTTCAAGGCTGAGATTGTATAGATTGGCAGCATTTCAAATCTGAGTGAGTGGTCCTTGTTATGTATCTGATACTGACTTCCTTGCTTTAACGTTAATGTAATTCACTATTCAGAGACATGGGAAATGATCTTCAGATGGGAAAAAGACACATTCCTTACAGCACCAGAAGCAACCTAATAAAGGCAAGGCCTTCGTTCAGGAAACATTTTCAGTAGACACCAGAGTCAAGAACCACAGCGCTGAGGTGGGCACACAGAGAACTCACATTTGGGTTTGAGTTCTTCTCTAATGTCATCAGGTGACTTCCTAAGCAAAGCAGTGTGGCCTGAATGTCCATTCCTCTCCTGTGACATGCAGTCCCCAGTAGTATTGAGGCACCATGCCCCCAAACGGGGGAAAAATACAAAGAAATGTAAAGAGTGACTAAAATTATTAAAGTTATATCACAGAGGAATTGGGGAACTTAACTTGGATGAAAGATACAACCTTTCTCTAAAAACAAAACAAACAAACAAACAAAAACTCTTGGTGACACAGGATAGTTGCATGGTTAAAACACATCTGGATCGGAGTTAATACATTTGCTGTAGGTTTTAAGTTAGTCCCACATCACCCAGTTCTCCTCATGCAGAAAGGCAACCCAGTGCCAGGAAAACAGTGAGGAAAGGATCTGAGTTGGAATCCAGCTCTGCTCTTTATATAAGCTGTATGTCCTAGGCTGTGTTAGCATGCTCTCTGTACCTCAGTTTCCCCGCATGGAAAATGAGGCAGCATAACATAGTAAAGTGAATACAGCAAGGAGGTTTATGTGTACGTGGCTGGGTAGAGCTCCCCGATGCACTAACCAAAACACTTAAACATTGGATGCCTCAATGCTCATCTGGAAAATGAGAATAATGGTACTTATTAGGGTTGTTGTGAGCAGTACATGAAGTAGGCCTCACTTGATAAGCCATCTGACACTCCTGGCAATATGAAGTATATAATATCTAGCAGTGATTATTGCTACCTGTAAAAATGGATATAATAACAACTACTACAATTCTGTTTATAAAATTAGGTGAGATAATATAAGTAAAAGCATTTGTATAACTGGAAAGTACTATTGAAATTTATTCTCTTTAGGAGGGCACCTCATCAAGGCCCTGCTGTGTGTGTGTTTCTTAATGTTGCTGAGCTTTAATATCCTCATCTGTGAAACAGGTTTGATAATATCTCAGAGAGTTGCATAAGCATTAAGTAATATAAAGTGTGTGAAAATCATCATTATTCAAAAAAGTTAAAAATATCACTCTAAACTATTCACTGTGGCTGGGTTGCCTACTGTTTTTCGTGAAGATTTCCAAGGTCACATTCAGCATAATTCAGTATAATGCCTGGCACACAGTAGGTACTCAATGAACAACCAGTGAATAAAGTTTCCACGGTGGCTTGAGTGAATAATGGAATTTTACAAGAAGTAGTAATTAGTCATTTTCTAACTTCCCCTATAAAGACAGTTGTGTCGGTGAGGTTTTAGCTTCTACATAAACTTCCTGACTGTCAGAACAGTCTATTAAAGGATAGTTTTACTTAGTGGGGGTCCTTCCTGCAGATGTCCAAGATTAGCAAAAATAACTTCTCACTATCCCTAAACAACTGAGATCTCTCTGCGTTTTTGGGGTGCTTTGTCTCTCAGAGAACAAGATGTAGTCCAGTCAATCTCTTTCAAGGACACCATCACCATCCTAAGATTCTATAATAATGACCTACTTAAGAAGAGAGAGTTACTAAAGTAAAGTAGAACACAAGAACTGCCACGAGGAGATCACTAGGTTTTAGTATTTTAAAGGGGACGGAAATCTTTAAAAAAATTTTTTCAATTTCAGTTGACATGAAATATTATATTAATTTCAGATGTACAATATAGTGATTAGACATTATATAACTTACAAAGTGATCCCTCCAATAAGGCTAGTACCCAACTGACATCACATACGGTTGTTACAATATTACTGAGTATATTCCTTGTGTGGGACAGCAATCTTAACAAACAAGTAATGGTCTCTAAGCACCCTATGGCCAGTGGTCGGCAAACTCATTAGTCAACAGAGCCAAATATCAACAGTACAACCATTGAAATTTCTTTTGAGAGCCAATTTTTTTACACTTAAATTTCTTCTAACGCCATTTCTTCAAAATAGACTCGCCCAGACTGTGGTATTTTGTGGAAGAGCCACACTCAAGGGGCCAAAGGGCTGCATGTGGCTTTCGAGCTGCAGTTTGCCAGCCACAGCTCTAAGCCTTCCCTAATATCCTGTGAAGGAACCATCAGTCATCAGTTCCAGCTCCTCCATTTCATTTCTGGTCTTGTTGAGAGATGTTGGACAAATTATATAAACTACCTTAGCTTCAAGCTTCCTAATCTGTATAATGGAGATAAATCTCCCCACTAAAGTTGCTATGAAGAGTAAATGAGATAATGTAATAACAAACTTAGCACATGGAAGGAACCCAATAAATGTTCACCACTGTTAAAACTTACACTGAACTTTCATTCTGTGCTTAGGTTTCCAGCCCATGAACTCTAACTCTAGCAGAGGACAATTTTTAGGAAGCTTCCTATAGTTTTGAAATTCACTATTTGGAGAATATATGTGTATTAGTCATGTCAGTAGCCATTGCAAACTTTTAACCTTAATCATGTTCTTTCTTAGTCTTGGTTTACCCAAGACCAAGAAATCTTAATCTCCTTTAGTGTATTTTCTGAGACTGTACACTTTAACTTTTTCCAAAATGTTAGTGGAGAAAATATGGCTATAAAATATCTTGACTTCCAAATGCCCAATCACCAAGAAAATATCACTCCATTATAAATATACAATTACAGCATGTTTGCTTTGTTGTAGACAATGATTCATGCTTACAGAAGAGAAAATTCACCTCAACCTGATCTCATAAAGGATTTCTGATCTCAACTTCCTGAAGAAACCTGAGACTTCTGAGATTCACTCTTAACTTGGATGAGTCAGAGCAGGTGACAGATGTTTTTTAGGCAGCACCAGTCAA